ACGCGTTAGGTCGTTGGTTTTGGATGCGCTTGACTTGGGAATTGTGTCTCCTGTGCTGAATCGAACGCAGTCGTCTGTAGTTGGGCTCTCTGTTGGTTTGTTGCTTCGATTATCGTCACACTTATGTCATATTACGCTGCCTGCTCGTTTTCCTCCTTTTGTCTCGCTTTAGTAGCTCTGTCGGTCAGTTGGGCGGCGTCTCTTTTGGTTTGTTGCTTTGGCTTCGATTATTATCACGCTGACGCCACACTACGCTATAGTTGCTTCCAATTCGATTTCTTCGGTGGGCTTAATTTCGATCTTGACTCTTTTGCTTGTATTTTAGGGTAGGATTTTCCCTGGTATAAGTCACTGTTGTCTTAAAAAATTGTAGCTCTCACTGAACCTGGTTGTATCTGTGGCCACAGTCAGTTAAAAAGTTGAGAACATCCTCTCTGCTTTTTAGCTGTTTTCTAGGTTAGTCTGTCGTATTTTAGGGTATTGCATTTTCTTTGATCGCTTAGGTGTCTCTTGATTCCCTTGAGAAGCAAATTTCTTACTGTCTCTGTTCTGGCACGGAGGCTGCCCTTAGTGTTTCGGGTTTTAAAAAAAAAAAAAAAAAAAAAAAAAAAAAAAAAAAAAAAAAAAGAAAAGAAAAGAAAGAAAGTTCCCAATTCCATAAAACGATTGTGTGGAAAACACCAATTGGGGGCTAGCTCAGTTGGTACACCCATGAACTGCTGAAAATTGGAATACAGACCTCAGTTCGAATTTCAATGAGCTCAGACGAGAAAATAACTCTGAATTTAATATTTATTCAATTTAACAAAAAAAAAAAAAAAAAAAGATTGTGCAGAAAACCCTGACAGCTGAAATCACATAGTTTCTTCTCAGCCTCAAAATTTGAGTGCGTCCTGCTCATTGAAAACTCTCACAAAATCAAAGGGAATACTGAACAGCTGAGAAGAAACAATGTGCGCCCTGCTCATTGAAAGCTCTCACAAAGTCAAAGAGAATACTGAACAGCTGAGATGAAACAATGTGTGTCCTGCGCATTTTGAGTGTTTCCAGACTTGGTTGAAGCTCGGGTCAATTGGAGCGTCTGGCTCATTGTGTGTATTCCATACTTGCAAGCGGACGCCGTCCAGGCGGTTCCGCACGTGCGGCAGACCGCCGGACCGGAGCCGCACGGCGCACGAATGTGCGCCCGACGACCAGTTACGCCCCACTCCCAGAAAAAAAAAAAAAAAAACGGCCCCGTCCGGTCCGGTCCTGGTCCGTCTGGTCCGGGGGGAGGGTGCTGCACGCAGCAAAGCGGACCGGACCGGACGCTCGTCCGGTCCGTCTGCTTGCAAGTATGGTGTATTCTCTTTGATTTTGTGAGAGTTTTCAATGAGCCTCAAAATTTGAGTGTGTCCTGTGCATTTGAGTCTTTCCAGACTTGGTCAAAGCTCGGCTCAATCGGAGCAGTTGCTGAACAGAAGTTAAGTGGTCGGAAAAGCACACGTCTGCCTAGTGACTGAATGTCACAGATGATATAGATGATATTCTTAATTAGCAGGTCAAGGGTTCAAATCCTAATGCTGTGATATTAGTGGCTAGTGCCCTGAGAAAGGGGGCTAGCCCCGAGCGTTGTTGTACCCATCAGGACTTGAACTAGTGATCTGTTTGTCAAGGGGCTCATCTGTGTACCATTGAGCTGCAAGGCATGTACCGGTATTGCCATCTCTTAACAATTGATTGGCGAAAGTCTCGAGATAACTTCTAAGCACATCCTGTGCATTCAGCAAGCTTGGTCCTGTCCCCCGCATGTGCTGTGTGTGTATCTTTATATCTTCTGCAGCATGGTTGCATCCCTGCCGACTGCCGACCCCGACCGCCGACCGTATTGCAGCCGACCAGTCAGAAAACAACCATCCAGTATTTTTTTTTCAGATCTGAGTTGGAAGCTGTACTGCGCTTGCTGAGTACAGCCCAAATCCGCTGAGAAACTTTTGGGGATGGGGGGGTTGGGGTTGGGGTGTATAGGGGGATATAGGGGGGTATAGGGGTGGTATAGGGGGTATTGGGGGGTGTATGAGGGTGTTGGGGGCCGGTTTGTGGGTGCTGGGGAGGTGTATGGGGGTATTTGGGGTGGGTATGGGGGTGTTCGTGGGGTTATTAGGGGTTCTGGACCCAATTTTTATTTATTTTTATTATTATTATTTTTTTTTTGGGGATGCCGATGACTCCTGACCGGTAGGTGCCGACCAGCCGACCGGCAGCCGACCAGTCAGGGATCGCCGACGGTAGACGTGTGCAACAATGTTCTGCAGCCATTCAAATAGAGCTTCTGAAAACAAGACATCCTTATGCATACGTATGTTCTGTTTCCTCCAATGTGATCAACGATGCAGGCCTGAAGCCCTCCAAGTTGGACAGAAGAGAATAGAGCGAGTTGCGAATGAACTGGGGCTTGACGGTTTTGCTCGCATAGATGCGTTCATTCATGCTGACACAGGCGAGGTGCTCTCTCTCTCTCTCTCTCTCTCTCTCTCTCTCTCTCTCTCTCTCTCTCTCTCTCTCTCTCTCTCTCTCTCTCTCTCTCTCTCTCTGTGTGT